TTAGACATTTATTTATGCGAATCCTCGCGCTGGCGAGCATACTGCCCCGCGCTGAGAACATAAAGAGCAGTGCTACACCCTTTTTTCACTTGTGCCTTTCAGGTGAACGAGGGCCACTGACCGATAAGAACAAAACCGACCCGGGAGACTTGGGCAAAAGCCTCGATCCTGTGTATCAATCCGTGAATCCGTAGTAAATACTTCCTGTGTATCAATCCGTGAATCCGTTAGTAAATACTTGCCACATTCATTTTCAGGTTGTCCGGGTCCCAAGAATTACAGGCTCTCATTGTTTCCTCTGTTCCAGTTTTAGCTCCAAGCATAAGTTGAAACTACTAACCCACAGTCCACAGTCTATAGCCTTCCGGCCTCCTCGTTTATGAATCCACCGAACGAAAAATTAATTGGGCGGTTCTGATGACTGGACCAATAGGCTCACAGTGGTCTCTTAGCCCATGACCATCACCTGTGGCTATGCCCACCCGAAGGAAAAATGTGGATTTGAATCGAATCAAACGTTCAGCTAAGCGTGGGAAACTTGGCGAATATTTATCCTCTTCGTAAGACTCTCCTTTATCCTCACTTGTATTAAAGTTACGTGCAATATTTGTTCATCTTCTTGATATGGGGAGCATTATTATTAATCAACCAGTCAACCGAGATGCGATTTGAGTACTTCTGGCCCGGTTGGCTCTTCATCTGTTCAATACACGATTCTATGAAGTACCAGGGCTTGGTAATATCACGATTTTCCCTTAACTTCCTGCCAGCAATACACAGTGGTGTTCATCATTATTGTGATTACGGTGGACCTCATCTGCTTCTTCCTTTTTCCCGCCTCCTTGATCTACTCATGCGGGAGCGCATACGTCTGGGTTTATCTCCTCTGGCATACAGGTAGTCGCCCAATAAAAGTCATGTGAATTCCTTCCAGACCAAGGATTGTGCTTTCTCACTCTTACCTTCTGCTTCGTGTTCGTCTATTTTGAGCTGGGATTTTACTCTAGAGAGGCCAAACTCAGCCATAGCATTTATCTTTTCCGTCCATTTGCTGCACATAGCATTGGATACCCAGTAGTTTGTATGGGTTTTTCTATTAAGCGATATCTGGACATACGTCATAGAAAGGTAATATTGTTCAGTTCTTTTGAACAACCATGTTTGTAGTTTAAAAAGATGGACGTTAGACGACAGAACTGTTTGTATTTTCGGATACTACGCGATGCGTTGCCTCTGTCTGCAATAACTAATGGTTCAGGTTAGTTGCCCCATTCAACTGAATGATTTTGTTGCAGGTGCCGCCTACACATCAATCTATCTTCCGGATGACATTCCCGATTTGGCCGAGGCCAATGACGATAGCGTGAGTATATATGAATATTTAGCACTGTGTGGGATGTACTCTGTAGAAGATTTCTCCTCGTTTAGCTCGATCCTTCCATTGTTCCTTGGCAAAATCCAGCACACTGCTCGGGTATAGTTGCCAACTGTTCGAAGTGACCCTCTGCGTTTGGTGTCATAACTTAACGGCCGCTAATACCAAAGGGACCTCCAGGTGACTCTTAAAGTAGGCTGTTCGTTTCGCACTAGAATTTTTGAGGTGGCTAGGCCTATTAATGTGGAACGGTATCCTCTGGGGTGCCCTCAGGTAATTAATCTATGGTGGATGAACTATAGCAATCCAAACATGATTTGAACGTTGTGTCCATGGCAGCATTGTTGTGCGTACACACATCGATTAGCTTCCCATAGGAAGTAAACCGGTTGACACTGCTTCTCGGTTCATCACCTAGAAGGACTTTGTACCCTAACACTATCGAGTTGCTCCCAAGCTCGTAGACAGATGGGCACAGTAACAATGATAATGCTTTGGAAGAGGTGGTGAGTGTAGACGAGTGAAAACAAATAGGCTTATAGCTTCTGAAACCGGCTTCCAAGATTTTCTCGTCCTCATGAATTGTAGTTGCGATTCATACCAACAGCGAAGAATATCAAGCAACCATGATAGTGCACACAGGCCTCTCAAACGCCGGATACTGAAAATCTCAAGAGTTGACGGACATTGCTCGTGGGTGTCAAAGGTCTCGAATCTGGAGAGAACTTTTGCAACAGCGGTCAGCCCCTTATTGTCCTAACGAGTATGATTGACTCGTTCGAACAGGGTTCTGTCAAAACCACCCACCGAAGGGATGGAACTGATCGCTTTGGTAGATAAATCGATCTATCCGGTCACAGCGGGTCGGCAAGAGGACTGGGACTGTGTTTACATACCGGGTGAAAACGTTCCATGAACAGTCAGTCCGTGACGGGTAAACGAAACACGCCCGAACTAAAGCTTCCAACTTGGCTTGGTGGTCTGGATTGAGTGCTGTAATGATCCCGCGGGCTACTTTGGCTCGAACTTCGTTCCACAAGGTGCAACCATGTCAGGAAGACCAACGGGGGCAGCCCGACCAAGAGCAGTGAAAACCCGCACTACGAGTAATCGTTCTAACAGGTGGCCTCGGAGTAAAATCGTACTGTCCTCTGCGATAGGAATGTGAGGGCAGTAAGGTGTTCCCCCCAGGTGACCAGCATGTCCATATTTATGAAAGCATCGACTCTGCTTTCCTCCGAGGAAGAAGGGGTTAGAAAATATCGGCCCCAAAAACCGCACACTCCGACTGCTCAACGTTTGACCGTGACCGCCGGCGCATTATTCAATACGGTCAAAATACTTTTAAAACTAAGGAGTCCCGTGCTGCTCACAAGGCACATGTTGTACGCAGCCGCGTCAGGACTGAGACAGTAATGCCTTACTCCAGCCAACCCTGTGCAGCCGAGCAAGTCAAACCATTGAGTCATCGGCTCTGGGAAGGGTCCCCAAAGAAAACCCTACATCCTCCCGCTGCCTTGTGGGTCAGACTTTTGAGTCAAAGGCTAAAGGGGCGTTACCTAAATCAAACCCTCTTCCCCGGCCTAGGCAAGCGGGAAGCATCATTTGCCCGCGCAGTCCTGTGTCCATCGATATCCCTCCTTAGCCCATTCTAACCACTCAAGCAAACGTCACTGGGTCATTTGGCTGTCAGTTATTTTACTGAGGGGTTTTATGCTCGTCGTTTCCTGTTAACGGTAAAGGAAATAGTACCGTTCTAAATACACGAGGTTCTTTCCATATAAGAGCTCTAAATATCCGTACTTTGTACCAAATTGTTGAACAGGCAGTACCTGCTGAAGCCTTTTACTCCCTTAAAAACACGCATACAAGACCCAAGCGTGGCTATATATCTCAGAACACCAAGGACGAACTGGGTTCCGTCACATTTCTCCGTTTGTGTCCGGTGACCCAGAAGCGGTGACTCATGGAATCTTTGGCGTCGGAGTTTTACTCACTCCTAGAGCTGAACGTGCTGTACTGGATTGGAACCCAATGTGCAGTCTCCTTTGCGCTGTCCAGATATCCATCTCAATCAGGCTCAATGCCTCGGCATAAAAAGGGATGTCCAATGTAGTATCGGCTTGTGCTCCAACGGACTGCAGTTCTGTGGCTGTGAAGGATACTTTCTATCGAGAGCTATCCGGGCTCGTTCGTCAAGCAAAAAGCACTGACAGTGTGATCCTTGCAAGTGATATGAATGCTAAAGTAGGTCGTCTGATCTCCTTGAAATCACATTTTGGAAGTCAACTCTGAGTGGAAGACAACGGACTCTAATTGTGTGCTGATCGTGAGGTGTTTCCCACAAGTATGAACTTTCAACATAAATGTTTGAATCGCGTAACCTAGCGGCCATAAGCTGCAAATCAACCGTGGACCCAGTTGAATCACGTGGCCATAGTTCAACTATGTCGGTCTGAGTTAGCCCAACAACTCTCGACAGTAAACCAACATTGTTGGTAGTGAGCATGGGGATGAAGCATGGCAAAATGTCGAAAGAGTTACGTTAGCGGCGTTTGTAGCCACCCAGTCACCCACATACTTGACTGTACAGCTCACAGTTGCTCTTTGGATCACGAGACTTGTATTTTTTCATACAAACCACGTCACATCGAGGTGACTTATCGGACATCGATTGTCTGTACCGTCCAGTGAGCTTAGCAACAGCTCACGTGCTGACACACCCACGTACAAGCAGACGGACCTACATATAAGGAAACCGAACACAGTCAGCACACACAGACTCGCGCGTGCGCAGGGAGCAGAAATTCAACCACTCTCCGTAAGTCCACGGATAATGGAGGGACACGCGTAGCAGCCATGTTGTGGAGGAAACACGTTCCTGCCATCCAGACTTTCACCAAAGAACTCTCACTGACTCACAACTTAACACCGATGCTTCACTGCCGTACAACCATGATTTATTTGAAAGCCTTATTGTGAAGAAAAGAGTAAAGGTAGACGGGGAATGGACTTAGTGCTAGCTTACCACAATCATTCCGAGGTGCCTATACCTCCAGACATTCACTCAGGCGATCTGGATAGAAACTGACAACAAGAACGCCATATCTTGTCGTATCTCCAACCAGGCACAGTGAGGATTACGCGGTCCCCATCCTGGAAGGCGAGTAGCACCGACAGCACCCAAGCGTTTCGTGATCTCCTTCATACTCCACTGCCAAGTCAAGGGTTGGCCACCTCTCTGTTTACTCTCTTTTACTCTGTTGGGCATGGAAAATAGCACTCTCTTCGGCAAACGATGGTTCGGCATACGCAACACATGTCCCAACCAACGCAGCTTCTGGTACTGGACACATTCTTCAATGGAAGTGTCCTTTGCACGAAAGAAAACGCGCTTTCTAAAGGCCTCGTTACGGATTCGCCGACACCAACCCACATGAGCTATGGTTCTGAGACAACGATTGTCGAACACCTGAAGACGTCTCAGTTCCGCTGCTCGAATAGGCCAAGTCTCACAGCCATACAGCCAAACAGCCTGTACTGTAGCTTGATAAACACGACCCTTCAGATTCAGGGATAAACCACCCTGACGCCATAGGTGTCTCAAATTAGCAAACGCGGCCCGAGCCTTGCAGATTCGTGCATTCATTTCATCTGCCACACTACAATCAGACCTAACACAAATTCCAAGATACGTAAAACACTCCACGACTTCCATTACCTCTCCGTGGATTGTAAGGGGCGTGTTCAGTGAGTGCACGTCCACGAGCATGACCTTACAATATGCGGGTGCAAAGTGCACTAATACATTCAGTGTTGTCTGTCCAACTTCTGCAAATCGACCACAAGACCACTGGATGTAATCGAGATCTATATCCATGATTAGTGCTTGGAAATCCATACCAGCAAGTAATGAGTACGAAAGCGCACGCAAACCCCTAAAACGGCAAATGGTAAAGAGCCTTAGGAAAGACCGAGAACTCTGGTGGACATCGAAAGCTCGGGAGATGAAGAAGGCTTTCGCTACGAGGGGTAGGTAGTTAAAGCGCGAATTTAGTGACCGGGAGATCTGCGGTTCGAACCCGACCTGTGCTGCTCGGCTGTACTTGTCTAGGCTTGAACAACTAGGCAGCATCTTAGCCCTTGAGCTTTCTTCGGGTGGCATAGCAACTGGCACCGAAAGGAAATGAAGCTGAAAGATAACTCTTACTATTACTTTTACTAGACAGCAAACGACTTTTCCCTCGCGAGCCCATGAAGCTGTGGAGCCATGATATCGAACTTCTCAAAGTGTACTGGAAATTCCTTTCACTCTACCATGAGCTTTTTTCATAAGGCAGATCACTCTGATTAGAGTACAGTTACTTGAAATGTTATTACGGCTTCTTCCAAAAAATGGTTTGATAAACCGCACACTTCCAACCTATCTGTCTAATACTACTTAATGATAAGTTGAACCTTGTGACAATTAAACCTTACCAGCACAGTGGTGTGGAGCCATTGTTTCTACTTAACCCGGCTGATATCTTCGTTAGATTCAGTCTTCTCCGCAGCCGGGACGCTCCTCCCGCTGACACGCAGAGAAATTCACTGATTGTGCCTCGTTAGTAGGACAGAAGACGGTTTGCGCACCTCAACGACCCATTGAGCTATACTGGGAGTGCCTCCGCGACACTCACAGAGCCTCTCACCCCAGGTTGGTCAATGGTTAGAGGTCTGAAAAGCAATCTCCTGGCCCTCCGCGTTAGGGGTTGGAACATGTGGCAACTTGTTCTGTAGAAATATTATTGCATCTGCACTTCCCACCAAAAACCGCTGCCTTGCGGTTAGGCTTTTGAGCCAAAGGCTTAGGTTGAGGACCCTAATTGTCTTCTGTCTAGGTGTGGGCGCCCTGACAGTATCCCAGCCCAACCAACCTACAACTAACAGTACTTTCATGCCACATCGGCCGTCGCTTGGTGCTATCAGCCCTCCTCGCTGCATACAGC